TTTTTGAGATGGAGTCTCACTCTGTCACCCAGGCTGGAGTGCAGTGGCGCGATCTCGGCTCACTGCAACCTCCGCCTCCCGGGTTCAAGCAATTCTTCTGACTCAGCCTCATGAGTAGCTGGGATTGCAGGTGCACGCCATCACCCCTGGCTAATTTTTTTGTATTTTTAGTAGAGATGGGGTTTCACCATGTTGACCAGGCTGGTCTCAAACTCCTGACCTCGTGATCCACCCACCTCAACCTCTCAAAGTGTTGGGATTACAGGCGTGAACCACTGCGCCTGGCCAACTACTAACATCCTGGTTCAATTCTGCTACTTGAGGCTCCTTTTTTTTTTTTTTGAGATGGAGTCTCACTGTGTTGCCCAGGCTGGAGTACAGTGGCATGATCTTGGCTCACCGTGGCCTCCACCTCCTGGGTTCAAGTGATTCTCCTGCATCAGCCTCCTGAGTAGCTGGGATTACAGGCATGAGCCACGGTGCCCGCCCTAGGCTGCTAATTTTTTTTTTTTTTTGGTTTAACCTGTCTGCAGTTTTGCCTTGACTTAGAATTCATCAGCTGGGGCCCACAGTGATATCATTGCATAGGACTGAAGTTATATCAACTAAATTCAGATAAAAATCTCCTACATTAATTAATTAAACAAATTGTTGAGTACATTTGCTAATTTTGTTAGAGGTGCTCATTGCTTAATAACCACAGGACACATTCTATTGAATATACTGGGAAAAACTTGTATCTTTCTCTGAAGATATACAAAAGAATATTAAGAAGCATAAAAAATATCTGTCCATAAAAACATGATTATGGCCAGGTGCAGTGGCTCACGCATGTAATCCTAGCATTTTGGGAGGCCACGGCAGGCGGATCACGAGGTCAGGAGTTCGAGACCAGCCTGGCCAACATGGTGAAACCCTGTCTCTACTAAAAATACAAAAAATAGCCGAGCATGGTGGCAGGCACCTGTAATTCCACCTACTCAGGAGGCTGAGGCATGAGAATTGCTTGAACCTGGGAGGCAGAGGTTGTAGTGAGCCGAGATCATGGCACTGCACTCCAGCCTGGGCAACACAGCAAGACTCCATCTCCAGGAAAAAAAAAGAGTGATTATATGAGTTATTTTTATTTTTATTTTTATACAGGGTCACCCAAGCTGGCGTGCAGTGGCACAATCTCAGTTCACTGCAACCTCAGGCTCCCAGGCTCAGGTGATCCTCCCACTTCAGCCTCCTGAGTAGATGGGTCTATAGGTGCATGTCCCCATGCCTGTCTAATTTTTGTATTTTTTGTAGACATGGGGTTTCTCTATGTTGCCCAGGTTGGCCTTGAACTCCTGGGCTCAAGCCATCCACCTGCCTTGGCTTCCCAAAGTGCTGGGATTACAGGCATGAGCCACCCCACCTGGTCTATATGATTTCTTTTTAAATCATTATCTCTTCAAGGAGATAACAATCATCAATAGGTTTTGTATAGATCCAAACCCTCTGCTTATGGATTCTCTTACCATGATACTTTGTAATTGAAAAGAGAATATGAAAATGCCAAACTTTGTAGCTTCAAAGAACAACAATAACAAAAAGCCTTTGCCTAGAGATCTAGATAGGAAAGTGATCCCGCCAAAATTTTGGGCCTGTGTGCAGGGCTGTGACCCAAGCTAGACACCTAGGGTCAATCAGCAGAGTTTGGTGCAGAGGGTCATTTGTGTGTCTTTTGAATATCACTGACTGCATCTCAAGATCATGTTAGAACAAGTATTGGCTCCTATTTGGTTTTTTGTGTTATCTTGCCTTTTCCCGTCTCCATTATGGATAATTGAGGTTTTAATATATGGTAGTGACATTCTAGCAGATGAAGGAAGGGGGCAGTCCCCAATGGGCAATCTGAACTTCTGCTTCGTATATTTACTCTTGCTGTTTTCCTTCCTCCTCATTTGTAATTCAGGAGGCTCTCTGAGAAGAGACAGCAAAGCTTCTTAGATGGATCGAAAGACCACGAGCTGGGATACCAAGTTTTACGGAAAGGTCAGCTATTGAATTTGCTCTGCTACCTTCAGGCAAATCATTTGATCATCGGATGCTCTGGTTTCTTCCTGTGCCTGCTAAATGTAAAGAGCATGGGTTTGAGTGTTTTGTGGTTATTATAGAGTATTTTAAATGTATGAGTGATTTATTTTTTCCAGGCCAGCTGCTCAGATATAAAACAAAATCTGCTCCTTTGAGCTGTTAGGCTTCGTGGCAGTCAACTGACCCCAAAATCCTTCTGACTACAGCAGCCATCTACTTGCTTGTTCATCTGAAAACATTTTGCAGTCTCTGAGCTACAGCTATGTGGTCTGACTCTATAGCTGGGGCATACCTTTTTGTCTCCTTTGTCTTCTGAAAGGAAATATGCCATTTTATGCACTCCTGCTGCTTTCACCCCCACTTTAAAAAGATGAAGGCTTCCTTTTGTGACAGAGTTGCTTTGTCTGTTAACACTGATCCTAAGAGACAGGAAGGAGAGGTGACATAGTAAATGAACAGTTAGTGGACTTGCTACCGTAGTTCCTTTTTGATGATTTGGGCCAGGACCACTAGAGGTTTGAACTAGATTTAGTAAGGCTTGGGCTCTTTGGGGTTTTGGCAGGAAGCAGTCAGGGAGTATATTGGAGAGAACACAAAATACCGCCCCCCACCCACCCTCTGCCTTTTTGTTTGTTGTTACAGCCTGTTACATTAGGCAACAAGATATCCTTGTTAGCCAAAGGTGGCCAGCTGAGATTCTTAGAAGCTAATAAAAAGAGCTGTTGGGCTGGGTACGGTGGCTCACGCCTGTAATCTCAGCACTTTGGGAGGCTGAGGCAGGCGGCTCACGAAGTCAAGAGATGGAGACCATCCTGGCCAACATGGTGAAATCCCGTCTCTACTAAAAACACAACAATTAGCTGGGCATGGTGGTGCGCACCTGTAGTCCCAGCTACTTGGGAGGCTAAGGCAGAAGAATTGCTTGAACCCGGTAGGCGGAGGTTGCAGTGAGCCGAGATCGTCCCACACTGCACTCCAGCCTGGAGACAGAGCGAGACTCAGTGTCAAGGGAAAAAAAAAAAAAAAAAAGCTGTTGGGTAAAGAATGATTTTGTTCCACATCTGTGGTTCACCACCCCACTGTTTCATAAATGAAAATCTCTGATGCGCAACATCGAATTAACCAAAAGGTTTACTTCTTTTGTTTTGAACTTAGACACATTTACATTATTTCTGGTGCAGTTAAAAGCACTTTCCAAACAAACCTAGTAAAGTATTAAAGTTAGGGACCCCCATGAAATATGTTACTCCTTAATTGTGGCGTGGGTATCAGCAGGAAGAACTGCAGTCACAGGAACACAGTGTACTTAACCCTTCAGTTCTGAAATGTTGCTAGGTCTTCTCGTGCTATAACTGATCAAATAAATATCCGGGTTAAACACTGCTCCCAGAGCTGAGTTCGCTCTGAGTGTTGGGTCCAACTTTCCTTGTTAATTCAAGGAAACAAGTCAGCCAAGGAGTCTAACTTGAGGTCTTCATTCTTGGGCAGGGCCATCAATACATCTAAAACATTACTTGTGGGTACCCAAGCTGCGGTAGCTTCCCTAAAAGGCAGAATTTTCACTCATTCCTTATAGAAACACGTAGCCAGCAACTTCTCAGGCTTGGGGAACGGGGCAGGCGGGTCGTGGTCGTGGGAAGGGGACAGGAGAGGAGGTAGTCTAGCAGGTCGGTTCTAAATGCAAATTGGAAACTACGCATCCGAGCGGGTAACCAGTACTGGCAGCATTCGTCTCCGGGAAGAGCCTGTGAGTGTGTCAGGATGCACAAAAGGAATGACTCCCCTCTTTGCGCCCCCGGAGTTAACTGCACGACCCGGTCAAAGTCCCGCCGTGGAGTGGGATGACGGTCCAGAGGTAACGACTAAGGCCAGGAAAGCCTAGAGGTCCTTCCGGCACCACCTTAGAGGGGCAGGAGGGCTGCAGTTACCGCCTTCGGAAGTGATCGCCTCACCCCTCAAAAAAATTAAAAGCACCTCCGCCATTACCAGAGGCCGAGGCAGGGCCAGGACACGAGAAC